CCCCCCTCCCCCCCCCCCCCAATCTCTTTTAAAGACGGATGATGAACAAACAGCTGCCACATTAGACAGGACACGAATATTTCAAGGGTCTGAACTGTCAAGCGCCGCAGGGGCAGCCAGCTCGCGCGAGGTTAACCACTAACCGTGGCCGATAAGACTAGGCTTCCCCAGGCGGCCGTTTATTGCGGCTGTCCGCTGTGGGCAGTTCGGGCTCAAATCTCCCTTCTCCCGGCAGCGAGCCACGGTCCTGCTCAACCCCTTCCACTCATTTTATTTTCCACTTGCAACAGAGCTGAGGAAGCAGGGGGGGAATTTGCTATCCCAAAACCACGGTGGGTCCCCTCTTCTTCTCCTTGTGCTTAATTTACCCTCGATGCTTCTGTTGCGGTGCAGCCTGGCCCGGCTTCTGGGGGGCTCCTGGCTCAGAGGGAGCCGCGGGGATGAGAAGGCTGCCGGCGATAAGGAGGGGGTGCCTGCCGAGAGGCCTGTCCCTGGGTGATAAACACACAACCCTCTCTCGCCCGTGACCAGAGCCTGCCCCGCAAATCAGCCTTAAATGGAAACAGTCGGCGTGCCAGCACGGCCAGGGTGGAAATTCTTGCTTGGCGGGTGAATGACGTATCTGCCGGTGCGTCCCACCCCTCGGGACGGCTGGGGAGTGGGAGAGGGCGAGCATCGCCAACCTCCCTCGGTAGCTTAAATACCCACAGGCTGGACACAAAGCCATCTTTGTTTGGAGTTGCGCAAAAACATTATCTCTGTGGTTTGTCAGCACAGATAACGCAGTCCGATTTTATAAATGGGGAGATTGAGATGGATGGAGAAGGCGCTGCAGCTTTGTAGCAAGTGTTTGGCAGGAGGAGGGTGAGGGCTCGGGGTCTGGATGCTGAGGGTTGGCCTCCCGCTGCCGAGATGTGTCTGAGGGCCCAGTATAAACGGTGGGGCAAACTGGGAAGCTCCATTTCTGCATCTCCCTTGCCCCACGTCCAGCCCCTTCTCGTCTGAGGTGATGCGCAGCAGATCCCTAAAGGGCTTCAGGGTTTTTTTTTTCAGAGAGTGGGCAGCCCGGGTCCTTCCCCTTCCCACTGAATATGCAAATACACTGAAGCTGTGGACTAGCATTTATTCTGACTTAACTGAAAAGTTAATTTTCTCTAAGGATCCAAATGACTTCAGCTGAAGTCAGTGGTATCTAGAGCACAGAACACATGGTTTTGGTTAAACAAAAGGCCCTGCATACTTTTGGGGCTTGTAATAGAAGCACCCACCCAGGAAACAACCAGGAATTCTTCTCCTTCAAATCACGCTTCAGCTTAATTATTGTCGGCACAGACAGGCCCTGACTTCTGCAAGGAGAAAACCAGGTTTCCATTGCTCAGCATGGCGGGACGCACGAGCGCTCACTTTGCCACAAGCATGGCCACCAAAGTGAAGATGCTTCCCAAATATCCGCATCTTGAGTGGGTTAGCTACGGCTTTGCTGATCCCATTGGATCTGAGGAGCCTCGCTGCCTTCCTCCAAGCCCTGGGGCTGACGACGACACCGGTGAGCTGGTCAGCAGCCCGGTTCGCACCTGGATTTTCTCACCTGAGCCCTGCCACCCGCTTTCAGGCTCTCACCTGCGGTTGCCTCTGCCTTGGGCAGCGTTAAGAAAAGGATCAGTCACTCACAAGTTATTCATCCGCAGCCTCCGGTGAGTCACGGCATTTCTGAGGAAGGGAGGGAGGCTGCTTGAAGCCTTGGGCTGTTGAATCCCGCTAACGCACACCAGGATTAGTTAGCCTGGAGTTCAGGGCTAGGAAAAGATTAACAAGTCACCCGTGCCTCTACCTCCGCTGTGTTTTGTCAGAGTAATTTTTCTTACACACTATCCAGATAACCTGACCGCAGAAGAGCTGGTTGTGTAACGGCAGAAAGTCCAAAGGTTTAACTTTTTTTAATTTTTTTCGCTTTCAGCTCAAGTCCGCCCTCCCCCCCCCAAAAAAAGCAACCAAACCCGAGGCGGAATTCCCCCACTTTCCAGCTTAGAGGCGAAAAGATGACGGTTTGCAAGACAGGCAAGCGTTTCAGCAGAGCTGTGCTGTGCCTTTGCACCTTGCAGCCTCCCAGGAGCCCTGGCAGCAGCCGGGATTTCTCACCAGGCTGTATTTGTGTAACCCCCTTTTCCCTGGAAAACAAAAACCTGTGGCTTTGCTCGCTTGAGGCGGCTGCTGCGTGATGGGGAAAAAATGCAAGCCGGAGAAGCGAGAACACCCTGGGAGAAGCATTCTTGATTGCTCCTATCTGATTTGGGAGCTTCAATTTTGGCACAGGGGAAAAGAAAAAAAAAGGGAAAGAAAATGGAAAAAAGAAGGGGGGGGGGAAAAGGGAAAAAGAAAAAAATGAAAAAAGAGAAAAAATGAAAAAAGAGAAAAAAGAAAAAAGAGAAAAGAAAAAAGAGAAAAGAGAAAAAAAAGAGAAA